CATAATCTCAATCTCCTAATCGTTCGTACGTTTCGTCTAGCAAAAATAGACAATAGGTTTTCAATTAGTATTCCGAAATTTAAAGTTTTAAAACGATAAAATAAAGTTTAGGGACCTAATTGGATATTTATTAAAACTAAATTTAAAAAATCTAAGGGCTAAAAATAATGTTTTCAAAGTAATGGGGCTAAATGTGGGAAATAAGAACTTCAGGGACTAATTTACTAATTATTGAAACCTTGGGATTGAAATAATAACTTAAAATGATATAAAATAAAATTCATGGGCTTAATCGGAAATTTATAAAATTGAAATCAAAAGTTTGATGACTGAAATAAACTTTTGTAGAAACTAGAGACTAATTGTAAGAAAACAGAAACTTTAGGGACTGATTCCCTAATTATTGAAATTGAAAATAAAAGTTTAAGGACTGATTTCTTTAAAAACAGAAGCTCTAGGGTCTTAAATAAACACTTTTAAAACTTGGGGGGCCAGGGGATAATTTCTAAAAATAAAAAATTGACAAAAAAATATCACACCTACTTCATCTATCTCTCATTTCTTGAAGAGGAGAAAAAGCGGGGACAGGAAAGGGGCTGCCCCTTCCCCTATTTCGCCACCGACGAAGCGGTCAGCTCAACACCACCGTTGCGTGGTGGCGCCGGTGCGTGGATGAAGGTGGTAGGGTAGTTTTGGCGTTCGGGTCGAAGGCTACGAGGTTTGGAGGGCTCCGGTATGAGGTAAGTTTTTTTTTTTTTTTACCTATTTTGGTTTTGCTTGGTTTAAGGTGAATTTTGGTGAAATAGGGGCTGTCAATTTTGGGTTGCAGCTGCGGGTTGTGCGTTGCACTTGGTGGTTCGATTTGGCGAGGTGATGGTTCGAATGGGGTGCACGAATGGCTGTTTCGTGTGTTGGTTTTGTGGCTGTTGATGTGGTGATTCGAAATGGTGGTTCTGGGTTGAGGCTGGGGGCTGTAGTGGTTCGAAAATTGGGTTTCGGGGTTGAGGTTTTGGGGACTACAGCTTGGGTTGAGGTTGGAATGTGGAATCATCATGTTGATGATGCTGGAAATGGATGTTCTAGTATCATCGAGAGTTTCCAATGTGAAACTGTATTGAGACAAAATTTGAGGGAGAGTTTCTTACCCAGTAGTTTGGCTGCGTGAATGTGAGGAGTGGAGGGAAATGGGAGTATATGAACAGTAACATATTAGGGCACAAATCCCTAGGAGCTTAAATGGGCCAAATAGTTGGGCCAGACATTTGGACTATAAGGGTTTCAAATTGGGTCTAAATGGATTGGACCTAAATAATC